CCCTAATCCCTCTATGTTTAAAAAATCTATCAGTCTCAGCGTTGAAAATGTTCAAGGACTGAGCATCTACAGCCTTCTGGGGTAGTGAATTCCATAAATTCACTATCCTCTGTGTGAAGAAATGTTTCCTCAACTCTGTTCTAAAAGGCTGACCCATAATTTTAAGACTGTGACCCCTGGTTATAGATTCTCCTACCAGGGGAAACAGACCCTCAGTGTCTACTTTATCAGCCCTTTAAGAATCTTATATGTTTCAATAAGATCTCCCCTAATTCTTCTGTACTCTAGAGAATATAGCCCTAGTTTATTCAGCCTATCCTCATAGGTCAGTCCCCTCATCCCAGGAACTAACCGAGTGAATCTACGCTGCACTAAGGCAAGTATGTCCTTTTTTAAATAAGGAGACCAAAACTGCACACAATACTCTAGGTGCGGTCTCACCAAAACCCTATACAGTTGCAGCAAGACTTCCCTACTCTTGTACTCTAAACCTTTTGCAATGAACGCTAACATGCCATTCGCCTTCTTAGTTGCTTGCTGCACCTGCAAACTAACTTTTTGAGACTGGTGTACAAGGACACCCAAATCCCTCTGAACACTAACACTATCTAATCTCTCCCCCTCTAGAAAATAAGCTGTATTTCTATTTTTTCTACCTAGGTGAATAACTTCACACTTCCCCACATTAAATTCCATCTGCCACCTACTCGCCCACTCCCCTAGCCTATCTATATCCTGCTTTTGCATCATTCTCTCCCACCTAGTTTAGTGTCATCCGCAAATTTAGATACGTTACATTCAATGTCCTCGTCTAGATCATTGATGTAAATGGTAAATAGCTGAGGCCCAAACACTGATCCTTGTGGCACTGCACTAGTCACATCCTGCCAATTCGAGAATGAACCCTTTATCCCTACTCTCTGTTTTCTACCCTTTAGCCATCTTCAATCCATGCTAATATGTTCCCATTAATCCCGTGGGCCTTAACCTTGTGCAATAGCCTTTTGTGTGGCACTTTGTCAAATGACTTTTTAAAATCTATATATACTACATCTACTGGTTCCCCCCTATCTAACCTGCTAGATACATCTTCAAAAAACTCTAAAAGATTAGTTAAGCATGACTTCCCTTTTGTAAAGCCATGTTGTCTCTGCCTAATCTTGTTATGGTCTTCCAGGAATCCCATAACGACATCTTTAATTAAGGACTCAAGAATTTTCCCTACCACTGATATCAGACTAACTGGTCTATGGTTATATATATATATTTATCTTTTCTCTCCCACCCTTCTTAAATAGTGGTGTTATGTTTGCAATCTTCCAATCAATGGGAACCGTTCCAGAATCCAGAGAATTTTGGAAGCTATGGAGAAAGGAAAGTCAGTCAGCATTTCGGGTCCACGTCCCTTCGTCAGAACTGGGGTATGTTGGGAGGGAAAGACTTTACCGTCTGGGCCAGGCCGGGCAGTGTGTGAGGCTGGGCCGGGCCGGGTGTGAGGCTGGGCCAGGCCGGGCCGGGTGTGAGGCTGGGCCGGGCCGGGCCGGGAGTGAGGCTGGGCCAGGCTGGGCTGTGTGTGAGGCTGGGCCGGGCCGTGTTTGGGGCTGGGCCAGGCCGGGCCATGTGTGGGGCTGAGCTGGGCCGGGCTGTGTGCGGGGCCGGGCCGTATGTGGGGCCGGGCTGGGCTGTGTGTGGGGCCGGGCTGGGCTGTGTGTGGGGCCGGGCTGTGTGTGGGGCCGGGCTGTGTGTGGGGCTGGGCTGTGTGCGAGGCTTGGCTGTACTGTATGTGAGGCTGGGCTGAGTGTGAGGCCGGGCTGTGTGTGAGGCTGCGCCGGACTGTGTGTGAGGCTGGGCTGTGCGGGAGGCCGGGCTGTGTGGGAGGCTGGGCCGGGCTGTGTGTAAGGCCGGGCTGTGTCGGAGGCCGAGCTGTGTGGGAGGCTGGGCCAGGCTGTGTGTGAGGCCGGGCTGTGTGTGAGGCCAAGCTGTGTACGAGGCCGGGCTGGGCTGTGTGTGGGGCCGGGCTATGTGCTCGGCCGGGCTGGGCTGTGTGCGGGGCCGGGCTGTGTGTGCGGGGCCGGGCTGTGTGTACAGGGCCGGGCTGGGCTACGTGCTGGGCCGGGCTGTATGTGCAGGGCCGGGCTGTGTGCGGGGCCGGGCTGGGCTGTGTGTGCGGGGCCGGGCGGGGCTGTGTGTCGGGCCGGGCTGTGTGTGCGGGGCCGGGCTGTGTGTACAGGGCCGGGCTGGGCTACGTGCTGGGCCGGGCTGTTTGTGCGGGGCCGGGCTGTGTGTGGGGCCGGGCCGGGCTGTGTGCGGGGCCGGGCTGTGTGTGCGGGGCCGGGCTGTGTGTGCGGGGCCGGGCTGTGTGTACAGGGCCGGGCTGGGCTACGTGCTGGGCCGGGCTGTTTGTGCGGGGCCGGGCTGTGTGTGGGGCCGGGCTGGGCTGTGTGCCGGGCCGGGCTGTGTGTGCGGGGCCGGGCTGTGTGTGTGGGGCCGGGCTGGGCTGTGTGTCGGGCCGGGCTGTGTGTGCGGGGCCGGGCTGTGTGTGTGGGGCCGGGCTGGGCTGTGTGTGGGGCCGGGCTGTGTGTGGGGCCGGGCTGTGTGTGGGGCTGGGCTGTGTGCGAGGCTTGGCTGTACTGTGTGTGAGGCTGGGCTGTGTGTGAGGCTGGGCTGTGTGCGAGGCCGGGCTGGGCTGTGTGCGAGGCCGGGCTGGGCTGTGTGTGAGGCTGGGCTGTGTGTGAGGCTGGGCTGTGTGCGAGGCCGGGCTGGGCTGTGTGTGAGGCTGGGCCGGGCTGTGTGTGAGGCTGGGCTGTGTGCGAGGCCGGGGTGGGCTGTGTGTGAGGCTGGGCCGGGCTGTGTGTGAGGCTGGGCTGTGTGCGAGGCCGGGCTGGGCTGTGTGTGAGGCTGGGCCGGGTTGTGTGTGTGGGGCCGGGCTGTGTGTACAGGGCCGGGCTGGGCTACGTGCTGGGCCGGGCTGTATGTGTGGGGCCGGGCTGTGTGTGCGGGGCCGGGCTGTGTGTGTGGGGCCGGGCTGGGCTGTGTGTGCGGGGCCGGGCTGTGTGTGCGGGGCCGGGCTGTGTGTGCGGGGCCGGGCTGTGTGTGCGGGGCCCGGCTGTGTGTGCGGGGCCGGGCTGTGTGTGCGGGGCCAGGCTGGCTGGGTGCGGGGTTGGACTGAGTTGTGTGCGGGGCCGGGCTGAGCTGTGTGTGCGGGGCCGGGCTGGGCTGTGTGCGGGGCTGGTCTGGGCTGTGTGTGAGGCTGGGGTGTGTGCAAGGCCGGGCTGGGCTGTGTGTGAGGCTGGGCTGTGTGGGAGGCCGGGCTGGGCTGTGTGTGAGGCTGGGCCGGGCTGTGTGTGAGGCTGGGCTGTGTGCGAGGCCGGGCTGGGCTGTGTGTGAGGCCTGGGCCGGGCTGTGTGTGAGGCTGGGCTGTGTGCGAGGCCGGGCTGGGCTGTGTGTGAGGCTGGGCCGGGTTGTGTGTGAGGCTGGGCCGGGCTGTGTGCGAGGCTTGGCTGTACTGTGTGTGAGGCCGGGCTGTGTGTGAGGCTGCGCCGGACTGTGTGTGAGGCTGGGCTGTGTGGGAGGCCGGGCTGTGTGTGAGGCTGGGCTGTGTGGGAGGCCGGGCTGTGTGGGAGGCCGGGCTGTGTGTGAGGCTGGGCTGTGTGGGAGGCCGGGCTGTGTAGGAGGCTGGGCCGGGCTGTGTGTAAGGCCGGGCTGTGTGTCGGGCCGGGCTGTGTGTGTGGGGCCGGGCTGTGTGTACAGGGCCGGGCTGGGCTACGTGCTGGGCCGGGCTGTATGTGTGGGGCTGGGCTGGACTGTGTGTGCGGGGCCGGGCTGTGTGTGTGGGGCCGGGCTGGGCTGTGTGTGCGGGGCCCGGCTGTGTGCGCGGGGCCGGGCTGTGTGTGTGGGGCCGGGCTGGGCTGTGTGTGCGGGGCCAGGCTGGCTGGGTGCGGGGTTGGACTGAGTTGTGTGCGGGGCCGGGCTGAGCTGTGTGTGCGGGGCCGGGCTGGGCTGTGTGCGGGGCTGGTCTGGGCTGTGTGTGAGGCTGGGGTGTGTGCGAGGCCGGGCCGGGCTGTGTGTGAGGCTGGGCTGTGTGCGAGGCCGGGCCGGGCTGTGTGTGAGGCTGGGCTGTGTGTGAGGCTGGGCCGAGCTGTGTGTGAGGCTGGGCTGTGAGGCTGGGGTGTGTGCGAGGCCGGGCCGGGCTTTGTGTGGCGCCGGGCTGTGTGCGAGGCCGGGCTGGGCTGTGTGTGAGGCTGGGGTGTGTGCGATGCCGGGCCGGGCTGTGTGTGAGGCTGGGCTGTGTGCGAGGCCGGGCTGGGCTGTGTGTGAGGCTGGGCCGGGCTGTGTGTGAGGCCGGGCCGGGCTGTGTGCGAGGCCGGGCTGGGCTGTGTGTGAGGCTGGGCTGTGTGCGAGGCCGGGCTGGGCTGTGTGTGAGGCTGGGCCGGGCTGTGTGTGAGGCCGGGCCGGGCTGTGTGCGAGGCCGGGCTGGGCTGTGTGTGAGGCTGGGCTGTGTGCGAGGCCGGGCCGGGCTGTGTGTGAGGCTGGGCTGTGTATGGGGCGGGGCTGTGTATGGGGCGGGGCTGTGTGCGGGGCTGGGCTGTGTACGAGGCCGAGCTGGGCTGTGTATGGGGCGGGGCTGTGTATGGGGCGGAGCTGTGTATGGGGCGGGGCCGGGCTGTGTGGGCGGGGCCGGGCTGTGTGGGCGGGGCTGGGCTGTGTGGGCGGGCCCGGGCTGTGTGCGGGGCCGGGCTGGGCTGTGTATGGGGCCGGACCATGTGCTCGGCCGGGCTGGGCTGTGTGGGCGGGGCCGGGCTGTGTGGGCGGGGCCGGGCTATGTGGGCGGGGCCGGCTGTGTGGGCGGGGCCGTATGGGCGGGGCCGTGCGGAGACTCGCTGCTGTGCTGAGGCTCTGATCATTATTACGGTTCATATTGTGAGCTCAGCACAGGACAAACGTCACGCGTCAGTGTTGGCCCCGCCCTCACAGCCTGGGGCGGGGGCGGGGCCGGGGCTCGGGCCTGGTGCCGGCCTCAGCCTCAGCCTCGCGCTCTCTCTGTCCGCCTCCAGCCGCCCCGCTCCTCGCAGCCCGATGCCGGCCGCCTGCACCAGTAGTAGCAGCGTCCCCCTCAGCCATGGCCGCCAGCGACTACTCCATCAACCTGAGGGTCCAGCAGGTGCTGAGCCTGTGGGCACACGGCACCCTGCAGCACTTCACCGGTAAGTGAGGCTCCCAACCCCGGGGGAGGGGCGCCGGGGAGACAGGGAGACCCGGGTGGGGGGCCGGGGAGACAGGGAGACCCGGGTGGGGGGCGGGGAGACAGGGAGACCCGGGTGGGGGCGCCGGGGAGACAGGGAGACCCGGGTGGGGGAGACTCGGGCAGACAACGACGACAGAGACTACCGGGAGGGGAGGAGAGAGAGAGCCGGGGGTGGTTGGGCTGAGAGAGAGATCTGGGGGGAGAGACCCGGGGGGTGAGGAGAGACACCGGGGATGGGGGGAAGACACTTGTGAGAGACACGGGGTGAGGGGGGAGAGACCTGGTTGGGGGGAGGGGAAGACCCAGGGGGCGGTGAGAGACCCTGGTGAGGGAGAGAAACCTGGGGGGAGGAGGTGGGGGGGTGGTAGAGACTGGGATGGGGGGGTAGAGAGAGATGGCAGTGGGGGGTGTGGGGAGACTTGGGTGGGGGGAGGGTGGAGAGAGAGACCTGGGGGAGGGTGGGAAGAGAGAGGGGAGAGTGGGAGACTGACAGAGAGAGAAAGAGCCGGGGGATGGGAGAAGAGCGAGAGAGTGCTGATCTGTCATTTATAGTCACTTGAAGGCCTGTGGACCTGCTTGGTTTACACCGACAACAATTTATATTAAAATAGCACCCTTCACTTAGGATCACGTCTCAGATTGCTTTACTGACGGGGTTGGATATGAGCTGGGAAGGGGGAGAAAACTATAGGCTGGGTCAAAAAGATAGGTTTTAAGGCTGGACGTGAAGACACGTGAAGAGGGAGCGTGGGGATCGGGTATAGGGTGGGAGATCCAGAGGTTAGGGACATAGAATCTGAAAGCTCGACTGTCAGCGGTGGTGTAGATAGGGTGGGTATGGGATGCGCAGACCGTCGGGAGTGAGCAGCGGAGTGGGATAGGATGAGACTGAGCTGACACACTCATGCAATGCTATGCGTGTGTTGCGTTGTCGAGGTGCCGTATTTCAGATGAGAAGTTAAACTGAGGTTCCGCCTGTCTGTTCAGGTGGATGTTAAGCATCTTTTGGCACTATTCAAAATGGCTGTTTGTGAGATTTTGCTGTACACAGATGTGCTGCCGTGTTAGCCTACGAATACGGTCAATCCATTTTATCGTGATTCCTGTGATGTGCTTTGAGATAAAGCATTCTACTAAATCAAGGGTTATTACTATCAGATAGATAGGGAGGTGTTAGGGCTTGAAGAGATTTGTGATTGAGGACTTTGAAGTCAGTCGGCTGGAAAACAGTGGAACCTGGTGAGGAATGGGATTTTAGGCGTGTGGAGTTTGGTGCGGGTGAGGATACAGGTAGCAGAGTTTTGGATAAGTTAAGAGTTTATGGATGGTGGAGCTGGGAAGATCAGTGAGGATTGCATTTGAGAAATCCAGATGGGAGATATCAAAGCTATGGTAAGGGTTTAGGAACTGGGCTGCCAAGACCACTACAGAGGATCAAGTGATTCCAATATTCCCTTGCTAAACAGGTTACCTTAGCTGTTGGATACTTTGATGTTGGAACTGTCAGTGTCCAGCATTTGGGTCTTACTTATCCATTTGAGTCCATTTGATTAGGCCAGAAGTGATCACCGGGATATATTTTACTGGATATATTTAACTCATGGATACTATACTCAGCAGTTCAAAGAACAGCAAGTGCATAAGCTATTTAATCATTTGGGACAAAGTATATTTGAACGTGGATGTTTTGAGGAAGGCGTTTTGTTTGTTTATTCTGTGCTCGTTGAGAATCATTCACTTACTCATCAAGACCACATATCTGCACTGGCAAATGTTGGACACATTCTGTCGCAGTGAAGTTATCACAGCAAATGGGTGGAGGTTAATGTGAAACTCACTCACCAGATTACAGTCTGGTTGTACTCAGCCTTTCTGCATACCCGAACACAGCTATCATACCATACACCAAGAGTAACAAGAACAATAGGATGCAATATCAGCCAAGGACATACCAGTTATGTATAGTACATGGATATTAAACTTGGTTAGTTATTGTGGCTCTGCAACAAGAAGAATTTATTGCTTCATGTTCATGGGAAACTCACTAAGCAGTGATTATTTAGCAGCTGTAGTATTAGAGCAATGCTGAATAATAACAATATTGCTTGCATTTGATATGTTGCTTATTGTTGAGATGTCTCAAAGTGCTTCAAAGAATATACTGTAAAGTGAATTAACTGTATATTTTGTGGGTGAAACGCGATAGCCAATTGATAAGGGCACTGCTTATGTGTAAGAGGAAAACAGATTTTATGACCTGCCATATACAGCACTCAAAGCACAGTCAGTAATTTGGTGAAAGGTGACAGAGATGATTTTAAAAAACAATCTGCTTATTTCATGTTTTGTTCCCCATTGCTCCAACTTCAGAGTTTTATAACCTGGGCCAATAGAAAAGTGTGGACGTTTGTGCAAAAATTGTGGAGCGCTTTACAAATCTTGCGGGAAATTGCGGAGGCTTTGCTAAATTTTGCCAGGAAATTGCTGGGGTTGATTGGTCCTATTGAGGTACATTTTACTGCTACATTTTTTATTGATAAAAGCTAAATATGAGGAAATAACACATTAGATTGTTACAAGAAAAATATTAATTGCCTTATTAAAAACTGGGTGGCCATTTGTTTGTGGGGGCAGGAAGCTACAGGCGCTCACCACCGCCTACCTATCAGGCTGGCATCGCACACAGACCCAGAGAGACACACACACACATTCAGAGACCCGGGGAGGACACACACAGTCACACAGAGAGACTCAGAGACATATTCTCAGAGAGAGAGAGAGAGAGAGAAAGAAAGACACACCGGGATACAAAGATATATATATATATACACACCCACAGAGAGACACACATTCACACAGAGAGACTCATAAACCCACACATACAGAAGAGACATAGACACACTCATATAGAGACAAACACACACACACAATCACAACAGCGGGGCCTCCGAGTGTACCCCATTTGCCGCTTGTACCACACTGCGAATGCAAGTCCGGAGCCTCTCTGCCCACAGTAATATCCCGAGGGCCAGAAACTACATTTATGACGAGTTTGTAGCGGACAAGACACATTGTAGTGGAATATACAGCCCACACTTTTCTATTGGCCGAGGTTATAACCCTTGTCCTCTGACATTGTGAATCGTTTCTCAGTTTAAAAAGGATGAAGCAAACTACTTTCTCCAAGACTTTTGCCACTTTTTATTTTCCAAAAACAATCCTTATGAAGAATGAGGGAAAGGTGTGAAAAGCATCTCCACCAAAGAATAGTTTTATTTTTTACCAAGAATTAAAATCAAGAACTGCTTTCAGTCACATATTAGATGGTTCATGTTCATGCTGACAATGTTATAGTATCCTAAAATAGGACAGTGATACATTACTTTGTCTCACTGGATTTATTTGCAGTTTGGGTATTTTTTTTCTCTTTACCCCACTCCTACCAATTCCGTGCCACACTTTTGCCTAAAAATACAGTGATTTACAATACAAAAAAAAATATTTGTACGGTGCCTTTCACGTCGGGAGAACGTCACAAGGCGCTGTTTGTGTAACAATGACATTATTCTCAGATGGTGATCTCGGTGAATCGTATTTCATTTGGGTATCATTGGCAAGATAATTTTTTTATTGTATTCCTTGTTAGCTAGGGTTGGGGGAGAGACTACTATGTATCACGGATGGGTGGGAGCACAATACTTGGATCCCTGAAGAAAGTACCTTTCTCATTAAAGTGATTGCACTGTACTTTAGTTTTTGTAAAGATCAGGGTGATGTACATTTTTGTTATTATTTAATATATATTTGATGTATAGGATTATTGTAGAGTGATTATTGTGACTGATTTCTCACCAAAAATAACTGTGATTCTATAAGACAAATTATTATTATTATTATTTCTTCTGAATACTGAATACACACTTGTCACAAATAATCCACATAACTATTCAAAATCCACATAACTATTCAAAATTACATTTATTATTATTATTACTTTAATAGATTAAGTGGATTGTTGGAATCCAGGATTGCATTGGTTGGTTGTGTCGAAGGAACCAAATGGTTGTTTCACGTATGATGCTTCATTAAAGACTGGTGGATAAATTGAAATGTGTTGAAAACAGGCTGCATGTTTGCTGGAACGCCACCGAATTTTGGGAAAAACCTGGTTACTATTATTTTGGATGAGCGAAACCATGATAGCACAAGTGAAACTGCCTTAGTACTGCTTAATGGTGCCGCACTCCGGTACATCATAATGTGACTGTGTATAATCACATCAAAGGAGAATTGTGTTACCTCTGGATCACAAACTTCAAATTCCACTTGTCATCAAGTCTACTGTGGATCTGGGGTTGTATTGCATATATGCGTTTGATTTGGTCATGCTGGTGGTGATCTGGAGATGAAGATACTGACTCTGCTATGTCAAATGCTGAAATGTTTCACTGAATCTTTAGTTTGCTAGGCTGGACACATGGATACCATGTATAAGATGAAAATGACAATTTTAACCAGCTCCCCTTTTCAGCATGATGGCACATTGACTATAGAGGCACTTCTTCAGAAAGTTATCCTTTGTGGAATGTTCCAATGTATCTGGATGTTCAACATGCGATTGGTTTGTTTTGATGTTTTGATTGATATGAAGCGCAGCCCCGTGATTTGAAGCATCCTAGTTGCCAGTGGAGCTGGCTGGCTTTCTGCAAACATGTCACACATGTGTATACATACAAGACTTCGAGGCTGCAGGTTGGAATCTACTGTAACTTTTGGAACGTTGCAATTGGCTTAAATGACCGTGGGTTAGGGAAGGAAAAATCAGCAAGGTTTCTTTATTTGAGGACATAATTAGTGTTAGCTGTGATGCCCCCATGATTGAATGCCCTGGCAACATTCACTGTGAAGGTTGACAAATGATTACCCGATTAGAAAAGGGAGAAAAAAATCCAATGCCTTCAGAGGAAGGAGAAGGCAAGAAATTGGAGGGCAACAATAGAAATAATTTTATGTGTAAAATACAGTGTCTGGAATGTTTTGGAATGATTATACATCTAATTATTGTGATTCTTTACAGAGATGTGGTACTGGGTTTTTCTTTGGGCCCTCTTCTCTTCTCTCTTTATCCATGGTGCTGTGGGCCTGCTGATGTTTGTAATGCTACAGCGGCACAAGCAAGGCAGAGTCATATCTGTGATAGCCATAGTCATCGGCTTTCTGGCGTCCATCACTGGAGGAATGATCACCAGTAAGTACAGTATGTTTGAAAAGCAAATAAACCTTTCAGCCTTGCATTAAATGGTAACAGGTTTACTTGCATCTTTGGATCTCTTTGTGGATGAAAACTGATGACATAAACTACAAATTCAATTGTGCCTTCTGCTGTTCAAGTGTTCCACATAAAAGGAATGGGTACAAAACTCTTCTGAATCAGCTTACCTTGATGGATCGTGGAATGGTTGTGGTTGCTGTACATTTTGTGGTGATGTATTGAGTTATTGTGAGCTGCAATGTACAGTATGGTGCTGCTACAATGGGAATAGGTTGTAGAGTACAGTTGGTTCAATAAAAAACCTGCTGCAGCACGGATCTGCCTGGCTCAAGAACCAGCGTACCAAGAACAATGCAGATGATCGTCACCTGGAGCCAACTCAGCCTAACAGCCCCATTTACCCTCTTATGTCTTCCCAGCACCCACGAATAGTCAGTAGTTGATTGTTAAACATTAATTACCTCAGGTTTGAAGATTTGGTAGATAACTAGCTGGTACCAGGCACTTCTTGGTGTGTATTGTGTTAGTACAACTCAGCATGAAATGCTTGAGAGCATTGCCACCATCCTCCTACACACATTTCAAATGCACACCTTTACCCGTAGCAGTGACTCCACAAATTGACAGTGTGGAGCTTCAGCAGCAGCTCTGCATATCAGACAAGATAAGTACTAAGTGTGTGTGTGTTCACAAATATGAACTCCAGGTACCACCTACAGCAGTTGTCCCAAGACAGCAAGTCTGTTGTCTGTCAAATCATGCTGTAACGTCCCCATGCACTTCCCAGGATTTATTATAAAATGGACTGGTTGTGTAGATGAATTTTCTCACAGCACTATCCCACAAACAGCCATGAAGCGAATGACCAATTTTATTTGGGTGGTTGATGGCCAGGACACCTTTTCATTTTGAATAGTGCCATGGGATCATTAACATCTCGTTCGAAGGATGGCACCTCCGACAATGTATCACTCTCCCAGCATTGCACTAAAGCTGAAAAGCATTCAATATTGATTTATATTGAATTGTAGAGTGACATTTACAGCAATTTTGTGTTCAATTGATTATATATTTTCCCTTGGACTGTCTGAACATATTTCTATGGAGTGAACTATTTAAAACTTACAAGGAAGAAACCAATTTCATGCAGCTTAAATTTGACTTCTTGACAAATACATTTACATCAAGTTATGCATCAATGTTACAGTATTTTGATTCTGATTGCGAATAGTTAGTTTCTAATTGTGCTGAAAAAGGCTAGTATTTATTTAAAAAATATAACATATTGGACTACTATTGCAATGTGTCTGAAATGCTCAGCTTTGCCATAGATAATTTAACAAGTGATTCACTCCTCATTGACTAAAGAAAAATATATAAATATAGTACTCAGGAAGTATGGGGTATTAAAAGAATTGAATAAAAGGCTGAAAACTGGGTTTAAAAAATATGCCATGATCTAATAAATTGGTGAAATAATCTCAGCAGGCTAAATGGTCTACTTCTGTTTGTATAATCCTATAATGCTAGTTGATTAGTGTACTGCAATGCAGATGCATTGATCTTGAAAATGTTACTCTATTCATGGCATATGAATCCACATGTAGCACATGTGCATGAATGCAAAGCAAACCTTATGCAATCAGTATATTGCTTTTATCTGTAGTACAGTATTGACATTTCTTTAATGATCAAAGTAGGTTGTAGTTGTAGGGTATATTTATTGAACTGTGTTTGGAAGGGGTTGAAAACATTTGAGTTCTATATATACACATGATGATACAGCTCTTTCTTGCAAAGCGTTGGAAGTGAAGATATTTGAGTAGAATTTTGTTTCTCAAAATTTGAAACACGTGAAGTGTTTTTTCTTAGGCAGCAGTAACAACAACTAATTGCGCTGATAGACAAAGAATGTTAATAGTTTTTTTTTGTAACTTTTATTTTTTAAATATAGGGTGTTCACAAAGACCTGTTACCTCCATGTTAGTTTTCTACAGTGAACTGACTAACAACTGAAACATGTGGAAGAATGATAATTGTATTTAGAAGTACTTAATTGTATTCAGTACAAATGTTTAATTTTATTTAGACATTCAGAGGATCAATGTGAACACTTTCATTTTCGTGGCAGATAATGTCTGTATCATGGATGGAGTGACGAGGAAGTTACTGGTATTGTTACACGCGACTCATTTGCAACAGAAAATAAAATTAATTGTAAGAAGCAAAATGGGGGGTGGGGGGGAATGGTGTAGCAGGACTTTGTGAATACTCTGTGTGTTTGTTCTTTGGGTAATTTTAACATTTCACTTCCAATGCTATGTAATAGACTTAATCAGAAAAGTTTGGTGCAATGAAATGGCTGAATGAAAAATAAGTAAGGATCAACTGAAATACTGATGCATTTTTCAAATTTAAGCTGTTTGATAATCTCATGTAGATAATGGCAAGTCAATGCATTTCAAGGGGTGAAACTTTCAGGAAGAAGTGAAAGTAGTACGATTTGTCTCGATGTTTGAGCAGATGCATGGTGAACCAACATTTGCTTTATGTAACCTGCTGATGCTGGGTTGAAGATAGTGTTTGAGGATGGAGCATCACCTTCAGGTCATTAATATTCATTTTGGTGAAAATATGTTGGATGACGTTTCACATCCTTCCATCCAAGTTGGCAACCATGGGCTTCGCTGTTGAAATGATAGATTGCCCTTATTGATGCTCAGTTTCTCATTCAATTCCAGTTGAGGTATAGACAGAGATTGTTTGAGATATTGGATCCAGATGACCATTTATAACAGGATTAACCTGTAGTAAGCATTAAATGGAACTTATTTGTTCCATTTGAACTCTTACAATAAGACACATTAATCTTGGTGATGCTTAAAGTTTGCAGTTCCTCCTCCTTACCACCTCCTATCTGTATGATCAGCATACACCCAAGCCTGTGCTCTCTACTCTTCTCTCTGGTTCTGCTTGTGTCCCACTTCTCCAATGCATCTCAGACACATGTTTTTAACCATGAACCCTCTATCTTTTCGATTACTACCTCTCTGCTTTCCAAAAATCCTTTCAGACAAATTATCTTGGCCTGCCTTTCAGACATCTAAGTTTTTCTGAATTATTGCAGCTTTTGAGAAGCATTTTTATGTAAATCAAGAATGACCACTAATAGCATTTCTTCAATTCCTGACCTTATGCTTCTCTTGCACTTTCAGTAGAATTGTATTGAAGAACATATGCTTGAACTTATTTTGCCCACAAAATACACAGGCAATTCACTTTACAGTATATTCTGTGAAGGGCTTTGAGAAGTCTTGAAGATGTGATAAGGTGCTATATCAAATGGATAGATTATTATTATTATAATTATTGACCAGAATTTTGTTTTTAAAATGGCAAATTCTTCATAATGTAATTATCCTTTCTTTTCTGAAGAATATGGTCGTAACTACATTTAGTGTCCATGGTTTATCTGTGCCATTTGCATTATCTCACCACCTATAGCCCGGCACCAGAAAGTGACAATACTACCTCTGATTAAACAGAAAAAAAATACTTAAGCAAAAGTTGTGCTGTTGAAGTGGCATCTTACATTTATATACAAACAAATTATTGGGTTGTTTAAATGTGGTGTTTTTTTTTGCCACATCCAGGTCCTGGATGAGGTTGCCATTGAGCGGGGAATTCACCCACTGCTGATTGGTGCTGCCTGTCCAGAGAACTGGAGTGCACAGAGCTGGTTAGTGCAGGTAATGGGAGTGCTGCTTCTGAACAGCTTGCGATGGTTGATAGCACTGACTGGCCAGCGTGCCAAAGTTTTACTGCTTTCTGATGCCGTTGTTAGGGTTATTCACTCAGATTTTAGAACTTTTGTCATCGGCTCCCTAGATTTGGCAAACTATGATTAGACTAGATTAGCAACATGCTGTGTCATTTATTGTGTGATTTAACAGAAATGCTCATCTGACTACTGTGTAAGTGGCCCAAAGTGTTGCATTGGAATTGTCAAACCAGCGAGGACCACCCTATCTGAATGCCTGTTTTTTACTGAAAGTGCAATTCTGTCATCGCCCAGTATTCAGAGATGGGGACTATAATGGGATCCGCTCTATGCAGTACATCTGTTCTTTTGTGCCTTTAAAACTGTAGGAATTGAATAAAATTAACTGTTTAAATTGACTTGTACTGTAAAATAAGTTGGTTTCAATAGCTGAATATGCAACCTTGCAGGTGGAGGAAGTCTTATTCATGAAAGTGCTAAGTAGCATGTTTTTTGAGTTCCCATTTAGTGGCATTTTATTACAGAATAGTCCATATATGACGTAAAAGTCCTTATACAGTATTTTTTCCGGACTATAGAGGAAATCATCCAAATGAATCAAGGATTTGAAGGTTTAGAATTATGAAAATATAGAAAAAAACTTTCTAAAAGTGGGGTAAAATTATAGGATGTTTCCTAACGAGTGAAAAAGAGAATGTTTGCTGGCCAAATCTGGGAAAGGGATGAATTTGCAGGGAAAAAAGATTTTTCAAACTCTTTGCGTAGTGGAGAGAGTAATATGGAGGCAAACAAAAACAGAAGTCACTGGGAACACTCATCAGGTCAGGCAGCAGCTACAGAGAAAGGAAAGTGAGTCAACGTTTCGGGTCCATGACTCTTCGTCGGAACGGTTCTGACGCAGGGTCGTGGACCCGAAAAGTTGACTGACTTTCCTTTCTCCATTGCTGCTGCCCGACCTGCTGAGTGTTCCCAGTGACTTCTGTTTTCAGATTTCCAGCATCTGCAGTATTTTGTGTTTGGTAATATAGAGGGACTCCATTATCAATGATCTTTGTAGGTAGAGCAGCTCCAATTCAATGACCTGATAAGGCACTATATCAAATGCAGGTGTTATATTATGACCTGTTCTTTTGTGCCTAAAAGAATAAAATAAAAATAGTTCCCAAATATAAAAAGAGTTCCCATTTCTTTTTAT